CAAGAATGGACCACTCCCATAGACTTAACACTTGACACGGAATTTCCAGGACGGGTTTTCCCTTCCCTACAAAAACATTGTAGAAACGTCCAGAATCATCGTAGGAGGCGGTTCTTTTCTTCAAAATGAAGCCCAGGTCCTCAGCTTCCCAACGAGGCGCCGCACGACCGTATAGCTCCATTCAATCAAAAGTTACGGGCGTTTTGGATGGATGGACCAATCCCCATAGACTTAACATTGATTCAAACGCCAATGATTTTTTTCTCGAATGGCGGGTGATTTGAAAAGCCATCGCGAGGCGCGCATTGGGGGAACCGAAAGGCATGGACACCCGACCGACTTTCACAGCGGAGATGCTTGATGCTCGGGGATCACATTCCTGCTGGCCAAGACGGCTGTGCCCCCGGCACTCCCTACGACATCTTTATATGGAGAGAGAGGGGTGTCCATCAAAAAACGAAAACTTGCGGACATTCAGAGCCTCCGCAAGTTCATCCCAGAGCCATACCAGGAGTTCTACGATGAACTCGCATCCAGAGCCGATCTGGACTTGGGTGATGATTCGGAGTATGATTCCGAGGGCTAAATGAATAAACTTCAGTTTTCCTCATTGACTGGTGCGTTCTTTCTCTCATTCAATCCGTTCTCATCTTCAGTATATTCTCCTACAGCATGATGGGAGAGAAGTCATTTTGCAGATCGGAGGTCAATGTTAAGTCTATGGGGATTGGTCCATTCTTAAAACGCCCGTAACTTTTGATTGAATGGAGCTATAGGGTCGTGCGGCGCCTCGTTGGAAAGCTGAGGACCTGGGCTTCATTTTGAAAAAAAACAGCCTCCTACAATGATTCTGGACGTTTCTACAATGGTTTTTGAGGGAGGGAAAAACCCGTCCTGGAAAATTCCGTGTCAATGTTAAGTCTATGGGGAGTGGTCCATTCTTAAAGTGCCCGTAACTTTTGATTGAATGGAGCTATAGGGTCGTGCGGCGCCTCGTTGGGAAGCTGAGGACCTGGGCTTCATTTTGAAGAAAAAAACGACCTCCTACGATGATCCTGGACGTTTCTACAATGTTTTTGAGGGAAGGGAAAAACCCGTCCTGGAAAATTCCGTGTCAATGTTAAGTCTACAGGGAGTGGGTCCATTCTTAAAACGCCCGTAACTTTTGATTGAATGGAGCTATAGGGTCGTGCGGCGCCTCGTTGGAAAGCTGAGGACCTGGGCTACATTTTGAGAGAAAAAACAGCCTCTTACGATGATCCTGGACGTTTTTACGGCGAGATAAAGATTCCTGAGTTTTGAAAAAAAGTTTATTTTCAAAACATCGTAACTCCAAAGACTCATTTCTCCGCGTGTAGCCACAGAAGGAGAGGGAGGACGGTGTTATATTTTTTTTCTGAAAGCTCTCACCAAGAGCTTTCGAAAATGGCCCCACAAGCCAGGATCGGTATCCTGTGGGATAAACTACAGGGGGAAGATTGTTTTTGGGTGTTTTTCCAGAGTGGAGTTACGATGTTTCGGAAATAAACGATTCAATTCAGAGTGGAAGCAATCGGTCCATCGAAACAACATTCACAAGCGCACTATCTCTTCCTGTGGAACTGGGAAAAGGACCCGAATCAGCCACCTCGAACGCCTCTGCCCCGATCCTAGGCACACGCATGGGACCAGAGCTCTCCCGGACATGTCGAACGATTGGGGGCGAGCCCATCAATCAGAAGAGACACGGTCTCCGTTCCCGGAAATTCCCGAGAGATTGACTTCATCATTGTCCGCAGTCTCATCAACTCATCACCGTCCGCTGTATCCGTCCGGATAAGTCAGGTCCCACTTTCTGAGATACATATAACCTGCCTCATTCGACTGCTCCTATGCTCTGACGCATGGCGAGGAAGGAGGCGGAATGGCATCGACGAAGCCTCGAGAGATGATATGCGCGAAGAGACAGCGCATGACGAATCGCAAGCCCGATATTCCTTGCCGATCTAACGCACCTTCCTCTGGATGGTGGGTCTTGACGCCAAGACCGAAGATCAAGCTCCGCTCACATAACCCTACTTATTACGTAAAGGGAAACGTGAGGCAACCTTACGGGACTCGCGTATGACCTTGTTGAGATTTTTCGCCGGCATTCTACCTCACAGATAAGTCTTCGAACGTCATCAGCTTACTTCTTTCGACCCCGGGGCCAACCCGCCTGGAAGGATCATTGGGAAAATCATGTGTGTGTATATTAACGGATATGCTGCATACGATGATGCTGTGAATCCGTTCCGCATACTAATTTCTGCGGAATGAGTATCGTCGTCTGGAATTAATTGTCCGAGGGGATCACCTGGGGGCCCACACAGTTGTGAGCTCTGGCCCCGAATGAGACTGAGTGAGTTGCCTGTTGACGGATCGTAGTTCACCAGGTACTTCAAGCTAGACTTTTGCTCCGCAGACTCAACAGTGTATACGAATCGGCGGATAGATAAACAGCGGTAAGCGTAGGAGTAAGGCGAATGGAACATAAACTGCAGGAGACCGCAGACAGTCACATGGATCTGCTCGGCGGCTCCGTCTAATTCTTCTGCTGCCAGAATGTCATCGCTGAACACATATGTGTCCAAAGTTTTAAATGAGTGATCCCCTCGTGGCTCGGCGAAGGGGTATAGACTTCTGATTACGGATCTGTTCGGAATGAATGTGAGTTCGACGCTTCGGTTTCTGTTCGATCGTACCTCGTCCGTTCTCAGTCGTTCCGCGTTTTTTCGGTGATTGATCATTCAATCGACTCGAATCGAGTTTCTGAGGGATCGGGGACCAATGACGAATTCCGAGCTGACTAATTTGCCCGAGACAAGTCAGGACTAAGGAACCTGCGTCTTCAATAATCGAGCGAGCTGAACGAGAGCTTGTGCTAGCATCGCAGACTCTCAACGGCCGTACCCTCCTCCACTCCGACGGGCTCCTGGTCCCTTCAAGGGGCTCGAGGGAGGGTGTGGGGTGCGTGAGCCCTTGCCTTTCGGGCCCTTTCTCAGAGCTCATATTAAACCAAACAAACATGGCTGCGCCCAGTATGGCCCTGCATTGAAGCAGCTGTTGTTGGTGGAGGTGCACCACGGCTGCGGCTCTGCGCCCCGGTTGATTCCGCCTGATTTGTAGCCTTCGTTTCCGCGTAGGCCTTGGTTATCCCACCGATCTAAAGATGGGAATCTGCATAAAGATTTACAGTGCTCAAACTCGTGTTGCGTGATCGAAGGTGCTGAGATGGGACTTGGAATCGAATGAAGCTTTCGTGCCGGAACTCCACGGAAACCGCTGAGAAAGATGCTACTGCCCGGGAAAGGAAGTCGCGTGCTCCGACGGCATGTCCGTCAAGCCATGAGAAGAGCACGTCAAACCTCGGAGAGGAACGCACGATCTGTTTATTTCCTCGGTTTCTTCTTGGTACTCGTGGTTTTCATGTTGCTGGCTGAAGTCGTCTACGTCGATCCCTATACGGCTGTCACCTCGTACGGAGGACAATCGAAAGATTCCTCGTGGCTGTACAACATCGTGCCTAGCCTGGGGAACAACTTTGAAAGAATTGAAGAAGTCCACCTCGAAATGGATGACACCGAAAGCCAGAAGCTCGACAGGTTGTACCAGTGAGTAACTTTGCGCCTATGATGATCTGCGCTATTTCCCCGGCCTCGCAAAGCAGCAACATAACATTATTGCGGGAATCCTCTGCATGTTTAGAGAGATGGGAAATTATTTACAGAAGCTCGAGCATAGGTACGCACTGGAGATGCTCGTTCGTCGTGTCCATAATTATTCAAAAATCGATTCTCGCTCTATTCGAGTGGAGGCATGCCTACTAGTCAATCGGGGAGTGTTGGGAAACACGGAGGCGCGTCAGGGATGTGCTCTGGAATAGGCCAGAATGAAACGATCGTTAGCCCGTCTGACTTCAATCTTCATAAAACAACGATCCTTCTGATGAACAATGCTGCTGCTCGCACGCGGCGCGCAGCGAAAATAGTGATTAATGGAACTTTAGTCCCCGGGGGAAAAAGAGGCCGAATGGAACAACATTTCTCTTTCATGAAACTTCTCGCACAGCTCGCTGATTCCTCCTGTTTTGGTTCCACCTCTATTTGCTCGTCGATTTGACCCACGGGAAAAAAGGAAATAATTCGATTACCTACCTACTATTCAGAACCGATCCTCGATCGGAGGAAGCGGGGGAATCAGGTGAGGTAGGTGGAGGACTCAGACGGGATCCAGATGGGAATTCCGGACAACTTGAGCAAGCTTTTGGGAAACATTCCTCTCGTGAGACGATCCTGCGTCCCGCGGTTTCCATTCTTCCTCGCGATCCCCCGACGGATCCCCGATCGAAGCCGACGTCGATACTCTCGAGCGTAACAGCAGCAGCAGCAACACTGGCCGGGAGATGAGGTCTCCGACGGAAAGTTTGGCGAGACCCTTGTTGGGATCTCAGCGGGAAAATAGAGCGGCAGCAGTCCACTCTGCTGACAGGAACCTCGTGAGAGGAAATCTCGCTAAGCCAATTCGGCGATTTCGGCACTGTCGGTGCCTTGGCGACTTTTATGGGTTATAGACGGCCGTTCCGTCGACCGACGGGTCAAACATTCCCTCTCGGTCAATTCCACTGAGGTGCTGATCTCTGCTTTTATATGCCGCCATTTGAGACCGTTACCGATAGCGAAATCGGTTCGCTCTAGTCCCCAACATGTACTTCGAGATTCGGCATCGCGTATCGACCGCAGAGAAACTACAGCTTAAGCATGAATAAAGAATACGACAACGCCTCAGTTAGCGCGCGAATCGGATTCACGCGATTCCGCTCTGAGAGCTCCTCGAAATTCATGGGGACCGCGAGAGCTCTCGCAGACTCCACCGTAGGAAGAGAAATTATAGAGCCTCGGCTTCCCAAAAAAGCGAGGTACGCCGCTCCCGGTTATTGACGTCTCGAACAAAAATCCGTCAAGATTCCGATGATTCCCGTCCTCTCGCTCTCCGCGTCATTGTAGTACTGGTTGTGCGGCACGATTTCCGTTGGATTTCCGCTTTTGAGGTCGCGGTATCCTCGCCTTCAATCTTCCCGCCGCGCCGTACTCCTGTGATCCTATAAATCTCAATTCCGAACCCTGGTCCTGCGTCAATTCTGTGGTGCGCCTCCGACGGCGAATATGTTCCTAATCTACTGCTGTGAACTTTCGTGATCAGAAATCGGAAAATTGATCTTCGAGATCGCTCGGAGGTCGACCTTCCGATGTCGAGAAGCTCTGCCACCTACGGCGAAAGTCGCTCTCCCGCGCAGGAACCCTGCTCTCGTTCTGTTCGGGCATGCTGACACATGATCCTCCATCGATCACCGGACCGGATGAGCTTTGAAAGGCGTCTGTTGAGAGTTCGCAATGCGTTTCACTCGATTTGCATAACGGCCAGGACGCACAGCTCGGCTCCGCGCACCTGATCGAGTGATCTGTCTCCCATGCGTTCTTGCCTCGGCGGCGAAGGCGGCGGGTTCTACAGGAGCCGGCTTCGGAAGACTCTATAATTTCCTCCTTTGTTCAGCGGACCCTCCTTCGAGGAGCCTGGACGGCACCGGGATAGCTCGTGCGAACCTTGTTCCGTCTTGTCGGCCTTTGACGGCGATGGGGCCGGCTAGGCGGCCAATTAGCTGATGCGACAATCTCTCTCACTTGAGAGAGCGGTTGTTTGTTAGCGAGTCAGGTAGGATTGCTTGGGTTATGCAGAATCGATACCTCGAGCGCTGTTCCCGGAGCGTCGGCGCTATTCATGGGAATCGGAGGACACGGATGCGCTCGGCGGCAGTTCCGACCCGGTCCGAGTGAGGGGGAAGTGAAGCTGCGGAAGCAGGAGGTCTTATTTGAGGAAACTCAAGACATCAGATGAATATGCAGATGGTGGCTGTGTAAGGTTCCGATATCGGATCGATCGTATCGGGCTCCGATACCCTTATGACTCACTCGGGCCACCCTATTCGCCATCTATCGGGGCCGACCAGTGACCCCTCGAAAGTCTCGATTTGTATCGGTCTCAATCACGACCGAGAAGGTCATTCGATGACGACACAACCGGAGGGAGGACGAAGCGGAATCGCGGGAGAATCCGCGGAATCGGGTTCGTTCCCCGAGAGCGAGAGCTCATGTATTCCAGACGTAATCAATCTCGGAATTGAAAGCAGAGTAAGCTCCCCCTAATGGCTCCTTGTAAATTAACGCCCCTCTGATGGATGTCTCGTGAGATTCCTCGGTCTCGGCTGAGAGTCCGAGCAGGGAGGACGAGATCTTGATTTTTAAGCCCCAAACATAAGAGTTCGTGTCTCGGCGGGAATACGTTTCCTTGGATATTTTATCCCTCCGAATGCGCTCCCTCCGACGAACATTCCACCCGAGGAGACAACAGCCATTCGTCTTGTGTGACAATTCCGAACCGCCAGCTCCGGCTCGGGTGAGCTTCGATTCTAGCGCGAGAAAGCGGAGCAATTGTTTCGTTTGAACTCGCTTTCGAGAGCATTTCTTTCCGGATTCCGCTTCCTGATCGGCCTGAAATAGTTCCCCAACGAAAGAGCCTGAACGAGGCGATCCCCATCGGATACGATGCATTCCAATTTCGTTCGCGGCCGATAATAATTCGCAAAGCAATCAGGACTTATGAGCGGGCGCAAATCTTTGAGCTCATTACGACTTGAGGGAGCTGTTGGCCTCACCAAACGCCATGATTGAGAGTACGGGTCAGCGATTAACGAATTCGACGTGCCGAAGACAGAGTTCGGGGGAAACATTCCGCTTTGCCGCCCTCGTTGTCGATGCGGACCGGCTTGTTTCATAATTCCCGAAGTTTGGTTGCTCACGTTCTGAATGCATAAAGCGCTTTCGCCTCTATTCGTCACCGCCTCGAGAGTGGATTCCGCTTTTCCCGAAGATTCGTCACGACCTCGTTCCCCGAAAAAATGGATAGCGTTTTCCGGTCGCGCGACCGCAACAGAACATTCAATCGGTCGAATCATTCGTTGATCGAACGAAACAAGGGTCTCGCGAACTCGTAGTCAGTCGATCGGCTCTGATCCCAATGGTGCGGATGAACGAGAGCCTTCCGATATTCCCAGAGCTGCGACTCGAGCTTAGGACGATTACGAATGTTCGCCAGCCGTTTTGGTCAATAGCATACACTCGAACTCGGCTCCCTCCGGAGACGGCGGAAACGCTGCGAATCTCGAAGCGGATTCGCTTCCAAGTGAATTTTTGTTGCACTTCCGTTCGCTTCTACTTTGGCACCGTTTCCGGAAAGGCAATCGTGATCTCTATCTTTGTGCGGCCTCGTCTGCTTCGACGCGTCCGGAGAACGGGGAGGAGAGTTTCCTTCGCGCCAAACTTCCTTCACTCTAAGTCAGTTTCGGAATCAGTCTCGACTCCTTGGGTCCGAGAAGAAAAAACGAGGGCAGCGAGAGGGCGGATCACGGTGCACTGGGCGCGTACGATGTCAGACATTTTCTAAGCGAGAATATTCCCCGCGTCGAAAGGTAGGCAGGCAGGCAAAGTCATTTCATGCGTGGGAGATCCGGGCGGATCAAATACGGGGTCAAAGCTCCGTGGCATCCGCCCGTAGCGAGTCGGGCTCCGGACCCCATTACCTGCGCAAAGATAACCTTCCCAGACGAGCATGCCCCGTCGGATAAGTTTTTTCCTTCGCGAGCGTTCTCCGAGAAGCCTGCGGTGGATCGGCCACGACTGTCGGTCAAGAATGCGAAAATTCATTATTTGCGCGAGTGCTCGAAACTTGCAGACGCTTCTAACGCGAGAGCTTCTCTCAACTTCGTGCTCTCGTCCATTTCACGAAGCTGGTTGTACCCAGTTTTGAGAGACATCGCTCAAGAAACAGCGAGCTCGACGACTCGATACAGCTGTCGGCGGGGAGACGAGGGAATTATTCATCGTTGACATCACGGGAGCCGCAAGCAGGCGAGGTTTCGAGCTTCCGAATCTTTCATTTTTCCGACGACATCTCTTCGAACGAGATGTAGACGCCGAAATTTTCCAAGAGGATTCCTTTCTAATCCGCCACGTTTTCTTTTTTCTTACAGAGCCGCGAAAATCGATCATTGGCAGAAGATTGCAAACACCGCGGATAAGTTCTTTGTGTTCAGTGCTTTTATGGATCGTCGGAGGAATGTGATCAAATACGTGAGAGTTATTGCCGTTGCCAGGACGAGACTCGCAGACCGCGTCAAGTAAGTACCGTCTCGTGTATAACGTGTGATCGTCGATGGTAGCGCGACAATCAGGACTTTATGATCGATCTGCGATATCTCGTCCAGAGAACGCTCCGTCCCGTTCCCTCGGTGCTCGAGTGCGCAAGAAAATTCAGGCCGAAAGCACGATTCTCCTCTGCCTGACTCCCGACGAGAGATGCTTCCGGATGAGAAATCACCCGGATGGAGTAGCAGGGAAGGACAATGACTCGACTCACTCGACCTCGGCGCGGAAATTCCTTTAGGTTGAGAGAATGAAGCACCGCCAGGAAGGGGAATCAGTTCTAGCTCGGAACGGCTGCCCCGGGAGCAGCCCAGAGTGGCCTTTTAAATGAAGACGAAACCATATCGCAAGCCTGATGGTAGAACGCTGCCTTCAGGCTGGAAGCCGGCAAAGCTCGCCACCGGCTTCGGAGGAAGTCCAGAAGACAAACGAACGGAGGAACAAAGCGAGGAATCTTCTCCGTTCCCTCTCACGATAGCCCAGCCACCACTAACTCGTCCTAGCCGGGTCCAGCCCAGATCACTTCACTAGCCGAGCCGACTAAAGGAGATGTGCCCTCGAGGGCTACTACTGTAGGCAGCACTGAACGGCAGCCACCGCCTGTACAAGATCCCGCGAGCACTTTCCCGCCCACTCCGAGGATACAATGGAGGATTGGTCGACGAGCGAAGTTTTTTTATGACGCAGCCGCTTTCAAGAACTACGAACGTGATTCCGACAGCATCGCATAGAGTCGACCCCAATAGATCCTAATTGCGATCGTGAAGTCCAGTTGAGGGAGAAACGACGCCAAAGTGGACTCGTCTCCGCGAAACGGCGGAAGGTGACACAAAGAAGGAAACAAGCCGAGCAGATGTGGCGAGAACTCATTCCTCTGAGTGCTTGAGGACTTGATCGCTGCGGGAAGTGTCTGCCCAGTGAAGACCGGAGCGGAGAGAGCCGACGGAGAATATCTCGAAATTCTTCTCGGAACGAAGGCGCAAACTTTCAAGTCGTCAATCGCTCACAATCCTGGGTCTCATCCGAATCATGCTCAACTTGACGTCTCGCTCTAATGGACTCGAAAATCCGATCGCTTCCCTTTTTATTCCATGATTCCGGAAGAGCTCACCGTCGTCGTGCGGCTCCCCGTGTAGCGAACGTAATTGACTCCGCTCCCAGGGTCCCAGCCCCGTCATAACTTTGAGAGTCGATTGGCAGTGCGGAGTCCTCGGGGGCCGCGAGCGATGCGAGACCTATAGGCGTCGCTTGGATTATTCACGCATTGCAAAATCCCCGGAGAGGATCGGCGGGTTCAGCGCACGGGGAGCGAAAAGGGGAACTCCCGCCACCGCACATGCGAAGTTCGAGCAACAAGCTGCCGTGCGTGGTCACAGGAGCGCGCCGAATCTTTTGCCGCTCGCGAATTCTTCTACTTTTGACTCGAGAGAGCTCCAAGCATCCGCATGCTCAGATCTCGGGAGGGTGACGACCGCAGAAGAATGCCTGCAGAAATGTCGGGTCCAGAGACGCTCGATCACGTCGATGTACGAGTGATAGCGTCGATTCTCCAGGACGATTCATAGGGAACGGCGGACCACCGATAGATCCCCAGATCCCCGAGTCCTCCGAAATCCACGGAATCCATCCCATCGAATGATGATGCACGGGGAAACAGAAGCGAATAGAGCGGATCCGGTCCGCCGGGGATCGCCTGACTTTTCTTGCTGTTTCGCAGTCGGATCGATGTCCAGGCCGCATGTCAGCGCGTTGACAACGCCGGTAAATTGTGTGTTATCATTGGCGGTTCCTTGATCCTAATAATTGAGTTCGGGCTCGCCCGGAACACAGGAATGGATCAGCGGGAACGGTCAAACGCAGAGCAGCTTCCATTCCGGGTCGTGTGCCGTGTGTCATTTCAACCAACCAACCAACCAACAGTCCGACCGAGCGACCCTATCTCCTGTTGTCTTTTTTTCGACATCGTGTAAGCTTGGCGTTCGGTCTCTCAGCGAACGTGCCTCGCAGGGTCGATAGGCGGCCGCCGAGCCGACTGCTACTAGTCGACGCAGAGACTCGCGCTACACGCGCTGTCCCAACGGGAGAACGAGCGTTGAGAGGAAAGACGACAACGGCGAAGAGAAGAAGAGAGGGAGACGAGAGGTATTTTCGATATTACCCTCGACAGGCCTGAATCAGCTTTATTAAACTCTCGACCCGACGCGTACGCTTGATTAAAATTGTATTCTCCCAAGGATCCTTTTAGGATGACGACGAGAAAGACGACCGAAGGCCTGTAGGAGAGGGAGGATCCGGGGGGTTTCGCGATGGTCACGAGATGGGGCACATAATCGTTCCCCTCGCAGAATTCCGTCAGCGGCCGAGCGCCCCGCGCTCCATGTCGAATCAAGGGTCTTTGGATTAGGAGCCTCCCCGGTCGCACGGAAGTCCGAGCCTGAACCCTCAGTGCGGGCATTCTTGCCGATGGATTCGTCGACGGGCCGAGAGGCTTCTCAGCTTCGATCGGGAAGACGTCTGCGATCGAGTGAACTCCGTTCGCAGTGACAGAGTCGCGAGATCATTCAGGGAGTACGAGAATTCGCATCGAGACAGTATCGTCGGCGGTTCTCGGGTGGTAGTCTCATGCAAATATTGAGGGTTTCCGATTCCGAATTCACGATGATCGAGATACGCTGGCGGCGGTCGATGCGGCGAGCAGCTGCTCCAGGAAACCGGCACTCGAAGGAGCTCCGAGCAGCCCAAGTGTGGGAGCCGGGAAGAGTGATTCGGACGGGTTTCGGCTGAGCAGGCGGCACGACCGCACGATGAATAAGTGCACGAATTCATTACAGTGCACGTCCAGAGGCTCCTCCATCTCCCCGGATTAAGCGGCCAATAGGGAGCCTGCGTGGGCGCCTCGACGTGTGGAGCGCCCAGCTCAGCCTCTCGTAGCTGCTCGGACGTCTTTTCAGACGCTGGAGGCAGCCCGTAGGCAAAACCGTCAATCAGTGTCGTTCCACTCAATTTGTTCGCACAAGGACACACTGTCTACATGGCGTTGTCCATAGACGACGACACCAGCAACAGCAGCAGCAGCAGCGGCGGAATTGACGACGACCATGAGATCAGCTCATACTGTCTGCCGTCCTTGCTTGTGGTGTTCGGTCTTCGATACACGAACTCTCTCCCGGCCGAGGCTTCTGCCCGTCCGGGTAACGGACAGCTAGCTGGTCCAGGGATCTACGAAGAGAAGTTGATGCCCTCCTTGAGCACGGGACGCTGTCGAAGTCCTGATTACGATCACGCTCGAGCGAGTTGGTCTTTCTCTTTTAGTCGAGTGAGCTCTATTCGTCTTAGGCTCAGTGTGGGCCGATAGGTCTGACTGAGCCCGGAGAATCTCGCCTGCCCGCTCGCCATGACCGCCGTTGCCGTTTGCGGATGAGGTCAGGGAGGCCATCTTAACGACCCGCCGACCGCCCGAGCGACCGACCGACCGACGCGACGGTGGTCGTCTATGCAAAATATTTGTTTGCGTGAGGCGCTAAGAGTTCGCGCACCGAGTCGTTATCTCTAACTGCGGCCGGAGCTCTGCGGGGAAACAGAAGTGAGTCGCATCCAAAACATGCCGAGAGGAATCACGTCGAGTGTTAGCCGCGTATCGAGCCGGATCGGTGGGAGCCCCACATTCAGAGAAAACCTTGTGTCGTCTGAGTTCCTGTACCAGATAAGAATTCCGCACCGATCTTTGACACGAATGTTCGGAGGGAGCAGACTGGCCGGCTCGAGGCGTCCATTCATTGAACGACGACGACGACGACAGGGAACGCGACCACGATGGAGCATCCTCGTAACCTCCTCGGGATAGCGAGGGGTGAATCCTGATAAGAAGAGGCGACAGACAAAAACGACAACGACGACAGCTCAGAAAGGCCGCGAGGCCCTTGCAGCTGGAGATAAGGTCTGGAAGAGGCAACTATCGGCTTCAGTAGGACGATGCTGAGAACGTTTTTAGCGTTTCCGAAACCTCAACGTTTTTTTGTACTCCCTCGAAGTCCTTCGACGCCGAGACCGCATCCCGAGTCGGCCAAAATACACGGCTCCTTCAGTCTCGCACGGTTTCGTCTTGAGGGACCCTTGTCGGGAGGGACACGATTCATCAATCGCATTCGCGAGGGAATGCCGTGCGCATTCTTCGAATTAATTCGTTCTCTCATTCCTGTGGCCACGATTATCGCTCTACTTGCAAGCAGAATTTCCAGCAGCTCTCTGTCTCTCCCTGTCGGACGGGACGGCCGGTCTCTCGCCGGCTGCATTTTGGGGAAAAGCTCCTCACTGCAAGAAGGGCTCGTTCGCTTGTCCTCGTTTGTCGACTTTTCTGGGAGGTTCTCCCAGACGGCGAGCGATGACTTTATTGCCAATATGCTTTTCCTCTCTTCATTTTGGTCGGACCTACTCTGAACATATAATATGTATGTGTTCGTTTCCCCCTCTACCCGGTCATTCCCGCTCCCCCGATGCAAATTTTGCAGCCCCTATGAGACCGTATATGCACATCACGTGCGGGGCCATAGACTGCGGCAGAGTCGCGTTCGTCCTCGCGCCTTTCGCCGGTCTCTCTGCTCATATCTCATCGGAATCAACGATGAAATAGCACTATGGATTGAATCGATTCAGGAACGAATCATCTCCAGCACCATGCTTCTTGATGGTTGGGTCCTAATCCGAACGAAGTGGCGAGTTTCTTCGCCATTCGGTGTTCTTCTCCACTGCACGTCCCCCCCGTGTGCGCTCTCTTGCCACTGTTCGATTCCGTCTCGTTGCTCCAGCATCAATTGCGTTTCTCAACGTGAGCAATCGCCATTACCATCGGATCGCCTGTCATACGTTACGTTCTTCGTACGTGCGGTGTTGCGTGCCGCGGCGAGCGTGACTCACCGATGTGTATGGCGATGGAACAGTCTGTGACTGTTGGATGAGCGTTCTCGGGACGACGGCG